TCCCGTCATGTAACAAGGTAGCCTGCATAATACAATCGACATAATTAATTATTTGTTTTCCAGAATTCCCCATGTTATATGAAAAGCCAGGAACATAATATGGAATCTGATATCAACGTACTTTAAAAAGTAAATCGTCTTTACGCTCTCTGTCTGAGAAAAATTAGACTAATTACCTTTTGTTTTTGCGTGTTGCTTTATTTGTTTTTGTTTTTGTTGCCTTTTAATTTTTTGGTGAAAAGGACGGGGTGAAGGTCTTTTAATTACTACAGAAATAAATGTAACAACATTTACAGCAGTTCATTTATTCCACAAAACTCGCCTCTACAAGGGTATCTGTGGAGACTCTAATTAGCGGTGCCAAATCTTTTACTCACATTTACAGAACAACATCCTTCGAACTTATTGAACTGCAATGCGGATGTATATAAAGTACTAATCATGACAACTTCCAAGCGAACACACTACCACTACTTTGGAGCATTTTCATCTGGTGTGGAAGAGGTCTGAAAATAATTTAAGAAACACGTAAACATCTTCATCCGAAATAGACTTTTAGCGGTCGTGATGTTCCGCTCACTTTTCAGATACTATTATACCTGTGGTAGGAAGAAGAGATTGGTGGAGAGTGCCAACAGCTCATGTTGAATGTCCTCTGTCAAAGTGAATGACGACTTGAAAATTTGAGTGGAAAGTTCCCACGAATTTGTGTATAGTATAGTCATGGCTGGCAACATCAACAGCCCTGGTTCAAAGAGGTCACCTTACGACCTTGACCTTTTGAACCAGCTGACGAACAACATCATGAAGAAATACGGATCGGAGTTCGAGCTGGTCAGCAAATTGACCAACTTGAAGAACCGTCCGAGGCCGAAATCGGAGCAGCTGAGCAGCCGCTCTGTGTCCAGTCTGCCCTTGGTAAAGGTCACGGGGCCGGATGTGAGCGACGGTCAAGGTCAGTCGATGGAGTATTTGCCGACCAGGTCGCAGTCCAACCCGTGCTCTCCCCGGGTGACCCGTCGGGCCTTCACGACCTGTCTGGACGGCACGCAGTACATCATTGGTGAGTTACCGCGGGGTTGTTCATTGCTGAGTGTGTGTGTGTGTGTGTGTGTGTGTGTGTGTGTGTGTTTGTGTGTGTGTGTATGTGTGTT